AATTATGTTGATGTTTATGATCCTATTGACTTACAGGATGCATTGAACAGCCCTCAGGCAAAAGAATGGAATGCAGCCATCCAAGAGGAATTAGACTCTCATGGAAGGAACGAGACCTGGGAGGTCATAGACCAACTAGAGGGGATTCGACTCCTAGACACCAAATGGGTACTTAAGATCATAACAGACTCTTCGGGAAATGTAAGTCGATATAAAGCAAGATTATGCGCTCGAGGCTTTAGGCAGAAGTATGGTGTGGACTACGTGGAAACCTATGCACCAGTTGTAAAATACGAGTCCCTACGGATCCTGTTTGCCATTGCTAGTGCTGAGGACCTAGAAATGGTGCAATTTGACGTCAAGACGGCATTTCTATATGGTGATCTAGAAAAGGACGTGTATATAAGGATTCCAAAGGGACTAAATGTTCCCAATACTGAAGGAAAGGTCTGCAAACTCAAGAAATCATTATATGGACTCAAGCAAGCATCTAGGTGTTGGCACAAGAAGTTTAATAATTTTTTAGAACGTTTTGGTTTTGTGCGATGTGAATCTGAGTGGTCGGTTTTTATATGTAACGCGAATGGAAAGCTCATGTATCTCGCATTATTTGTTGACGACGGTATGATTCTTGGCAGAAATATGAACGATGTTCAGAGTGTTGTAGATGTGCTACGTGCTGAGTTTGAGATAAAGATTGGATCTGCAGAGATGTTTGTTGGAATTCAGATCCTTAGAAATACAAAAGAAAAATAAATTTTTCTTCATCAGGAATTATATTCGAATCAAGTTCTGAGACGTTTCAATATGCACGACTGTAATCCCGCAAACACTCCAGCTGATCCAAACTCAACTCTTTGTAAGCCGGAAAGTAAGGTGACTTTAAATGTACCTTATAGAGAAGTGATTGGATCACTAATGTTTCTGACCGTTGTATCAAGGCCTAATTTGGCATACATTGTGCATTTTTTAAGTAGGTTTTTCAATAACTTTGATAAGAGTCATTGGGAGTGTGTTAAGCGAATGTTAAGGTATTTGAAAGGAACTTGTAATTTAGGAATACTGTATAGAGGTAAAAAGATTGAACTATGTGTAAGAGCTTTCTGCGATGCTGATTTTGCTGGAGACAGAGATGAGAGAAAATCGACGAGCGGGTGTGTCATCATGTTATCACTAGGGCCAGTGTTGTGGTTTTCTAGAAGAAAAGAGTTTTGGATCCACGGAAACTGCAAGAGTTAGACCTATAAGACATAATACTTTTTTGTTCCACGTCAAAAGTACTAAAATATCCGTCTGTTGCAATTTCACAATTCCCGGGATAGCCTCTTCCCATTTTTCCCACATAACCCAGTGTTTTGGCACTCGAAATACAGAACGTTTCTGTTCGGTTCTGCTGCCGGTTTTACAATTTGGCACCGCACACCACTTAATTTTCAAAAAATTTTGAAAACCCGATTTTAGGATTTACAGGTTACGTCTATATGCGGACACTACACAGCGACGTGTAGTGGCTAAGATAGAAATAAAAAAACAGCCCACATATGCAATTATACCCCCACCATTCAAAATCGAGGTAGTTTCCAGACCTGTATGTAAGATCATGCATCAGGACATGAATTTCTTCTCCAAACGTGACAAATTCGAAAAATTCTTACGCTCCAATCAAACTTCCTGGGACCCTATTCTCGAAATCGTGCCATAATTGTGGCATGCCACTTGAGTCGTTTCGGTTATTACTGTTATGGCATTGGTAGGCAATTTTGAGATGAAGTGGGACTGAGGCCCGTTTTCTTTTATGCGGTTCAATGTATAAACTCGGTTTAACTATGCTATTAGGTAATCAGACATTTGTGATACGATTTCGAGAATAAGGTCCCTGAAGAATTCGATACTAGTATGTGATATTTATTTATTGTTATGCATTCCACTGGACGAACCCTCTACTTGATAAAAATGATGTATAGTAATTTTTTTATCACGAAATCGTTTGTTAGTGATTATTTATTATTATAAAAAGCTCAATTTTTAAATTTCAGACCATAAAGAAACTATCAACTACAAAAATATCTTCAGTATCTTAGATTCTTATTGGTATATTTATAAATCCATTAGTCTTATGTAAAATTTGAGTTCTGACAAATATCGATACATCATAATTATACATAACTCTTACAACTATAAAAATATACATAAATATGTTTTATTCGTCTGATTAACTGGCACATTAATCCTTTCATGTAAAGTGGTTAAAAGAGGAAACTCTCTTTTGATGTCTCTCTCTCTCGTGAATAAATATATTTAGTTTAATGTCATTTAAAAGTTCAATAGTAATTTAATAAGCGTCCGTTGTCAATAAACATTGTTTCACACTAATTTTATTATGAATTTCAACGTATTTTGCACAAGAAACATGTTAATACCACTTCATATATCATATCATTAAAAATAAAATCCGTCTGTTGCACTAGTTAAATTCTTCATGCGCACCAGATACTGTACATTCAAGTTTATGGAATACATAATTCCTTATGTCTCACTATGTTCGCCTTTATATAGGCTCTATCGGTATATAACACATTCTTCTTAGCAAAAGAATTGGGAAGTTCGGTGAAAATAGAATTATTAGTAGCACCAAGGGCGATAGCAAAAGTATAAAACTGGTGTACACTAATAGCCACCAGATCGGCATGATGCCCAATACTGGAACTAACATACTGATTGTTGTATTCCGTTAACATGAGTACAACGTCAGGATCAAAATTTAACTAACAGACAAATTGTTCTCGACTAGGTTGACTTTTTTGAGGAACCATGGCCGATCGCTTGCTGACTGCTGATCGTCACGCCAAATATGACCAAATTGTAGGCTGAAAGAACGATTTTAATATGAGATTCGACGCCAGATTGTTCAAATAGGGGAGATAACTGTATAATGGGATCCATATATTTATTTATTCGAAAATAAGAAAGACGGTAGTGCTTGCTAAATGGTCGTTAATCCGGTATAGTTTATACTGAAACAATCGTATCGCGGAAAGTGAAATTTCTCAGTTGCACAATACCAGCATAATACCATTATTTAACATACTGTCGGTTATTATGTGTCGTCTAATTCAAATGTAATAACGTCTATCAAAGTTTGTCCAATTATCAAATTAATAGAATATCGTGGAATGGAACGATATAGGTCACTCTCATAATTAATTATAAGAAACCATCAACGTGAATATGAATTATTCAAAGTTTTCAAATAAATTGCAAAAGTAAAATAATTTTTATTGTAAATTAAACAAAATATTATAATGCTGAAATGAATTAATGCGAAGGTCTTTTTTTTCTATTTATATATTCTACCGTGTACATTCTAAAATAAGTTTCCATGGCCTTGATTGAAAGAACCAGTGAAGTCTTCCTAGGTCAGCTGTACGAGTTATATGACTCACAGCATCAAGTTTAAAACATCAAAGAATCATTTATTTCTTAACCATTTATATATATGTGTGTGTATGTATCTATGCATAAAATGCAATTAGTAAGTTTACTGCAATGTTTCGAATAAGCTTATGCCGAAGGCATAGTTGGGACTAAAAGGAATTATCAGATTCAAAGAGACATACCCATGAAACATGTTGCGATTTGTTTAGTAGTAACACGCAGAGCTCGCCTGCAAGACTGAGTTAAATTTCAACTCGTGTTATACACTTTCCCTTTCTTTTGACTTCAGCGACTAGATTGCTATACCTGCGAGCCCGTGTTAAGTCACTCAGTTAAGTACGAACGAATGTATATGTCATTCACACATTATGTATAGACAGAATGCGCAACTATGTCTTTGTGAAGGTTTCTTCTGTGTGGAAAGTTGATGGCATTGACAACTTTCAGGAATGTCTCGAATAAGCGGTAGAACTTAAAAAGATTGTAGTATTCCCGTGATAAAATTATATAAAGATTTTTAGAATGCAACTCAACTGTATAATAATAATAACATACAAAGTACTATGCACGAAAACCCTTTGAATAACATATGTATAATACTTTAGGGGCAAGGTACTTACGGAACAAAGGATACGGTCGATAACGAAATTTCAATGTGTACATAAACTTTTAAGTTAAGAAGAAATATATGTATTTTTTACGCAATTCAATTTTTAATATTACTAAATTTAAAAAAATAAAGTGATCTCAAAAGGGGACCTCAAATTTTTTAGACGTCTCAAATATAAGAATTGGAAATTGACCTACAGACACTTTTAAGTTTTTGTAGTTGATTCACGAGTTATGTGGCTTCTTTGACAAATCGACAACAATGAAATCTCTAACAAATCATACATAGCGCTGCATACAATTTCTGTTACAATTAATGCAGGTTCGCGGTTTTAAAATGAAGTATATTTTGTTTCTCTATTTCATCATTCCATTTCAATTTTGTGGAAATCCAGATGTGATTTACTAAGGATGGCATTGTTCGTAACTGTCAAACAAATATATTGAACTCATGGACCAATTATACAGGGTGTTCCGAAACTACCTGACCCGGTGGGTATGGCGGTGTTCGGGAGGCTTCACTGATCACGAAAATGACCTTCTTTTTGTCCGGAAGCTCTTAGTTTTTAAATGGGAGCAGGTCAAAGTTGACCAATCAGAACGAGGCGTCAAGAGAAACGTAGGCACCTACGAACTCTGAGTTTTCTTCCCACGCTTTTGTTTCTCGGTAGCTTGTTTCTTGTTTCCAATAAGCATGTCTTCGGCTGACGTCATCCTGCCCAAAGCTACCGAGAAACAAAAGCGAAGGAAGAAAACTCAGAGTTCGCAGGTGCCTACGTTTCTGTTGACGCCTCCCTCTGATTAGTCAACTTTGACCTGCTCCCATTTAAAAACTATGACCTTCTGGACAAAAAGAAGGTCATTTTCGTGATCAGTGAAGCCTCCCGAACACCGCCATACCCACCGGGTCAGATAGTTTCGAAACAACCTTATAATCATATAAAACAAATCGGGTATTCCATTAAGGGTTTTCAGGTATTCCATTCAGGCTTTCTCATTAAAATTTTTCGAAACGTCGATTTTTTTGCTTATTCAGATAGTTACAACGCCTCAAGAATACTGTGTTCAAATCTTTCGACGATATTCGTTACGGTTACAATTCTACAGCCATAAAAGTGACCGAGGATCGGCACGCAGGTAGGAGGAGCATGTAAATATAATAATTTCATATAATATAATAATCATAATATAATAATAATTGTTAGTGCGCTTGAATTCAAGTGACTTCACGCTCTTTGATAGATCGATAATCGATCCATACAACTTCCGCCCTTTTTATGATATTCGATATTACATCCACTCCAGAAGGGACATAGGTGACATGTGACTCTAAAACCCGTATTCAGAACTCGCTTTTAGTGCTAATAGCGCGCTTTTAAATTATTTGTTAGTGAGTTTATAGGTGATCGTATTCAGAACCGCTTGTATGGTCACTCTTAAGGTCACTAACAGCTAATAGCGCGCTATTAGGGAAAAAGCCTATTCAGAACCGCTTTTAAGCATTTATCAGCGCGCTATTAGGTGCCATCTTGTGACTAACAGCGACCTGTTCGGAGATGTGGGCAGGGGCATGTTTAAAGTGACAGGTCGCTCAAATATGGCGGAGCAAATAGAGGCTATTCCTGAGGTGGACAAAGTCCGCGATGTCAATGAAATGAGAGTAAGAAATCCGCAAGTTTTTCGAAAGAGACGTGATCCGTTTGAATTGTTTAGTAATCGTGAATTTCGAAACAGATATCGCTTATCGAAAGACAGTGTACGATTTGTGATCAGTTTAGTGGAAGATAGGTTAGTGTCTCATGCCGGTCACCACAACGACATATCCCCAGCAATGCAGGTACTTGTAACCCTGCGGTTCTATGCTAAAGGATGCTACCAGACAAAATTAGGTGAGTCATTACCATAAGTCAATGCTCATTGTGAAAATTAATATTAAAATAAATTAAATTAAAATAAATAATTATTATAATACTCTGTCATTTGCATGATACCAGTAAAATTATTATACATTTTAGGAGATCTGCATGGCATTTTCCAGCCTAGCGTATCCAGCATAGTTGCAAAAGTATCTGATGCTATTGCTGCACTGCTTCCATGATTTATTGTGTATCCAGCTAGAATGGAAGCTCTTAAAATGGATTTTTACAACATAGATCACTTTCCTGGGGTTGTGGGCTGTATTGATTGCACCCACATTGCAATAACCCCAGTCGGGAGTGAGCTATGTTGTATGTTAACCGTAAGGGTTATTATTCTATCAACATGCAAGTAATGTGTGATGCTCAGAGACGAATTCTGAATATTGTTGCTAAATGGCGAGGCAGTGTTCATGATGCACGTATATGGGACTCGTGCTCTCTGAAGGAAGAGTTTGATGTAAGCATTTTTCCATTTATTAAAAGTATGTTTGATATTAGGTAATCCATGAAGTGATAATATATTTATTCTTATTTAATAAGCCTCGAGGATAAAGGGAATCTTGCTTGGGGATGCTGGATACCCATGCAAGCCATACTTTCTGACACCAATCCAATCTCCTCAAACTCAACCTGAACAGAGGTATAACAGGTCCCATAAATCTACGCGCATAACTGTAAAGCACTGCTTTGGGGAATGGAAGGGCATGTTTAGCGCCCTTCGCAATGTCATGCAGATATCCCTTCCGACAGCGAAAACAGCCATCATTGCCATGGCTGTTTTGTTTAACATCAGGAAGGAGCACCATGACAATCATGGTTATGGTAAGAATATAAAATTCATTGAAACTTTCTCATTAAACAGTTTTAACTTAAAGTAATTTTTCTTACAGATTCTGATTTGGATGAGGAAGAGGCCTGCGAATTTTCTTCGGAAGGTATAGAAGAGCAGCCTCTTCCTGATTCTGTCCTGGTAGCAGGGAATATGTTCCGCAGGGACTTCGTGCGAAGAAATTTTGCGTGAAGGAGTTCCTGCATTGCTGAGGATGCTGACGCTCTAACCTATCTGCTCTATCTGATCATCTAAGCACTGCCTTTCGATGAAGATATCTGCTAGAAGTTCTACGAAAACTAAACAATTCAAATGGATCAAGTTCCTTTCGAAAACCTTGTGGATTTCTTACTCTCATTTTAATAAATGAAACTTTGTTTTATATTATAATACTGATATTTTTATTTCGAATTTACCGATAGCATTAATAATAATAAATACATATGTAAAAAAAAAGTAAAAAGTTTTTATTAATCATAGGAAAAAATATTTACTAAAGTTTTTTGTCAAAGAAAAATCATATGTACAATTTGTAAACAACAATCGAGATCTAGTAGAGAATAAAACGAATAATGCTAGATTACAAAAAAGCAGAAGAAATAAATGGATAGATCTAAAGAAGAAAATAGCAGTGACTCATAAGTAAGTGAGTTAGGAAAGATATTACAGATGCATCAACGGTGGAAACTCGCAGCGATTCCTTACAAAGCAGCCATGATCGAATTGCAAAACTCAATTTTTCCTTTCTTCTGGTCCATACAAAAATCTTTCTTTCTCTAACTGTTCCTCCAAAATTTCTATTTCAGCATCGTATTTCTGCTTCATAATCTGTATTTCTAACTTGTGATTTTCTTCCATATAACGCAACGTTTCATCCATTTTTTTCGTTTGCAATTCGAGCATGGCTGCTTCGTAGGCTGTCATATTTTGTTTATCTTCTTTGGTAATGGCTCAGGCGAGGTCCTATCCCCATGACTTCTTTTTCCAACTTCCGTGGAACACGACGGATCTGCCTGAGGTAGGTTCGACTGTATGGGTACTAATTCACTTAAATATATTTTAAGCAAATTAAAACTTGCTACTTGTCATTTTTATAAATTAATCACCAATCACGCAGATTTAAATCTTTGGGACGTAAAACACAACATTATAAACAAATAAGGAAGATGACAATACGAATACAAATATATCAAGTATTATTATACCCAGTTGTCGGATTCAGTTCGTATGTGACTTCGTTCTCAGACATTTGCGCCGTGTTCAATGTTGGGTTCGTTCTTATCTGCAAATGTGAATATATTTCGAATAATATATATAATAATGTAGATTAATATAATTAATTCAAACTATAACACAAATAATACATACTAGTCTATCAAAGTCGTGGGAATTTTCATCCTCCACAAAATCTTCCGGGTAAATTTCACTGATTGTGAAATCGAGCCCGGAAGGTTTTGGAAGTGAAGGACCTCCGTCTGTACCAGTCGCATGCTTGCGATAGCAAGAAATAGTGTTCTTTGCTGCGAGTTTCCACCGCTGATATGCACCTCTAATATCTTTCC